ATATATACACTCATTTGCAAGCATTCAATCAAACATGCTTAAATAAACTACAGATGACATATATTTGTCTTAAGTCTGTCCAGGAGAGGTAGAGCTTTTAGATCTTGTACCGTACACAACCATCTAAAATGGTCAAGATAAAGATGAATATAGTAATGGAATAAATGGAGAGAGATGGATTACCAATTATTAAACAATTAGTGTTAATCACCTATTTTGGTTTTTAAAAAATAACATTTACTACAATAACGTTTATTTATAGAAAAATGTAGATGGTTATACTTTGGTAAAGTATGTAATTTAATCCCAGGTGTATTTTTTCAAGTTAAAGATGAAAGAAAGTAAAATCCTAATTTCACCGGTTTCATCTTTTAGGGTTTTTTGTTGTTTAAATGTTCCTGTATTTAAAATATTGTATTGGTTTTAACATAAATAACATACAATGCCATAAACATCCAATATGCAGAGGGGAAATATCATATTGAATAGGGATGCAGAGGTGGAAGAAGTACTCAGATCTTGTACTTTAGTTAAAGTAGAAGTACCAGAGTAAAAGTTCTGCATTCAAAATGTTACTCAAGTAAAAATATTGGCATCAAAATATTAAAGTACCAACAGTAAAAGTACTTATTATGCAAATTGGTCCATTTCCGAATCATATTATATCAATCAATGTTTATTTATACAGTTACATTTGTCTCAGTGGACTTCACAGTTTGTACAGAATATCAACGACACCCTCTGTCCTTAGACCCTCACATCGTACAAGGAAAAACTTCCGGAGAAAACCCACAGTTTAAAGGGAAAAATGGGAGAAACCTCAGGGAGAGCAACAGAGGAGGGATCCCTGCAGAGCACGAGTCAGTTTAATAGACCAACAAACAAAACAGTGTCCAGTGTGAGCTACATGTTATCCTCTCCTGGTTCCTGCTGATTTACCTGTTGCGGTAGAATATCTGCGGTGATCCGGCATCCAGGCTGGTAAATCTGGCTGCAGGAGAGGGAGGAACTAATCCAGCAGCCGGGGCGGGGTGGACTTGAAATGGGTGTCTCAAGATTCAATCAATCCACACAGCGTTATGTTTCAGACTTCCAGATGTGATTTTCACAATAAAACCCCTTGTCGCTCCTCATATGGCAGTCTTCAGGTTTTGATAAACGCACATAACAAACAATAAAAAACGTATACGCAGAGGTGGGAAGTCACTAAGTACATTTACTCAAGTACTGTACTTAAGTGCAATTGTACTTTACTTGAATATTTCCAGTTTATGCTACTTTGTTCTACTCCAGTAGAATTCAGAGGAAAATCATGTACTTTTCCTCCCATACATTTATTTTGAACCTTTAGTTACTATTTAGACTTAGATTAATTATGGGAAATATAATCAGCACTTAAACAAGACTTTAGTTTCACCTGAAGTACATTCACAAACTACCCTGCAGACAGTGTACAAAGTGATTAAAACTTTTGATTACACTTGAATGCATCAATAATTATCATCGAAACATAATCAAGGCTGGATTATTGTAACTCCTTATTATCAGGGTGTACCAAGAAGTCAGTCAAGTCGCTTCAGCTGATTCAAAATGCTGCAGCTCGTGTACTAACCAGAGTTAGGAAAAGGGACCACATTACTCCTGTTCTGGCTCCCTTACACTGGCTCCCTATAGAACACAGGATATAATTTAAAATTCTTCTTCTCGCCTACAAAGCCCTTAATGGGCAGGCGCCATCTTACCTTAAAGAACTCATTATACCCTACTGTCCTACTAGGGCATTGCGTTCCAAGAATGCAGGGTTGTTGGTTGTTCCTAGAGTCTCTAAAAGTACAATGGGAGCCAGAGCCTTTTCTTATCAAGCTCCACATTTGTGGAATCAGCTTCCAGTTTGTGTTCGGGCGGCAGACACCCTATCCGTTTTTAAGAGTGCGCTTAAGACCTTCCTTTTTGATAAAGCTTATAGTTAGGGCTGATTAGATTCAGCCCCTAGTTTTGCTGATATAGGCTTAGTTTGTCGGGGGACATCTTACTTCTTCCTTCTCTCTGTCTATACCTGTGTACTCTCATGTTCCGATTAACCCAGCTTCCCCAAATGTCTTTCTTTTTGGTGTCTATATACGCTGGGATCCGGAGTCATGGATGATCCTGCACTCCTGTGTCCTGCATCGCGAGCCCTGGATCTTGAGTCGTGGCTGTGGTCCTGGATCATAGGTCCTGGATGGATATCCTCGTGGATTCATCTTCCTATTATACACACATGCATTTCCAAACATTTGGACTACCTATGTTGCAAATTTATTATCTTTTCAATTTACACACGGCATCTATTGCACGTCTGTCCGTCCACAGAGAAATCTCCTCAGGTGGGCTGGTGACAACAGTGGATGCAGACTGCAGTCAATACACTCATAGGAAATGATTTATTGTGTGGCGTGTGCAGTGCAGATACATTGTGGGCAAGCTCCTCTCATTTTTATTAAAACAAATGTGTCCAATAATACATGTTTTTATTCTAATCAGTTCCTTATAAGTCAAACATTCATATATCACCAATACAAACACAATATTTGTATTCTTGTTGAGAACAATGTTTGTATTCTTATGAATATTACATACCATTTATATGTCTGGCAGTGGCTAAGTCGGTAGGGGCTTGGACTGTGAGCCGTAGGGTCGCCAGTTCAAGTCCCCGACTTGAATGGAGTGTGGTCTGCTACTTGGAGAGGTCCCAGTTCACCTCCTGCCCTGCCGTGGTGCCCTTGAGCAAGGCACCGGACATCCCCCTTCCCTCCCATTGCTCCCCGGGCACTGTACAATAGCTTCTCACTGCTCCCAGTACTAGACTCCTCCTGGTAGTAGGATGGGTTAAAAGCAGAGAACAAATGTCGCTGTGTGCTCTGCATGTGTGACAATTAAAGAGGGTTTCATCCCTCTGATTCTATTCTATTATCTATTCTATGTTCCTGAGATAAATATGACCTATTAATAAGACAAATATTAATGTTATATTAGTAGAAATGCAATACAAATCTGTATATTCCTGATAAAAGCTATTTATATGAATCCTACAATAAGTATTTATATTCCTAATGGGAGCCTAATTTAGTGGGGATTTTCCAGCAAGCCAATCGACAGACATGTTAAAAACACATGTCTGTTGAACAGAGATTATCAAGTGAGAAAAAATAAAGCACTTATTTTTACCAAAATCTAGGACCTGAGAGCCTACAGTGATAGATGCTGCTATCCTCTCAGACCACCGTCATTTTTTACCTCCTCTGTACCCCTAAAGTGTCTGTCTTGTCTACTACTCCCTGGTGGTATCTCTGCTCTTCCCTCTTTTCTGCTCATCCTCTCCTCTTTAAAAGCCCTGAAGGCCAAGGTCTATGATGTACTTGGCCCGAAGAATCTACGAAACAAATTATCTAAGGATATACTAACTATGGATGGCATTAATTTGGCCTCCAGTGAGACTGTAAGGAATCTTGGTGTTATATTTGATCAGGATTTATCCTTTAACGCCCACATAAAATCAATTTCAAGGACCGCCTACTTCCATCTACGTAACATTGCAAAAATCAGGCATATCTTGCCTCAAAACGATGCAGAGAAACTAGTCCATGCATTTGCTACTTCAAGGCTGGATTATTGTAACTCTTTATTATCAGGGTGTACCAAGAAATCAGTCAAGTCGCTTCAGCTGATTCAAAATGCTGCAGCTCGTGTACTAACCAGAGTTAGGAAAAGGGACCACATTACTCCTGTTCTGGCTCCCTTACACTGGCTCCCTATAGAACACAGGATAGAATTTAAAATTCTTCTTCTCGCCTACAAAGCCCTTAATGGGCAGGTGCCATCTTACCTTAAAGAACTCATTATACCCTACTGTCCTACTAGGGCATTGCGTTCCAAGAATGCAGGGTTGTTGGTTGTTCCTAGATTCTCTAAAAGTACAATGGGAGCCAGAGCCTTTTCTTATCAAGCTCCACATTTGTGGAATCAGCTTCCAGTTTGTGTTCGGGCGGCAGACACCCTATCCGTTTTTAAAAGTGCGCTTAAGACCTTCCTTTTTGATAAAGCTTATAGTTAGGTCTGATTAGATTCAGCCCCTAGTTTTGCTGATATAGGCTTAGTTTGTCGGGGGACATCTTACTTCTTCCTTCTCTCTGTCTATACCTGTGTACTCTCATGTTCCGATTAACCCAGCTTCCCCAAATGTCTTTCTTTTTGGTGTCTATATACGCCGGGATCCGGAGTCATGGATGATCCTGCGGTCCTGTGTCCTCCAGCCCTGGATCTTGAATCGTGGCTGTGGTCCTGGATCATAGGTCCTGGATGGATATTTGGTTTTGGCGCAGTGGTTAGAGCGTTGGTCATCAGATCAAGGGGCGTTGGTGAACTCCAGTTCAAATCCCGCCTCGGCCGCCACTGCGTCAGGCCATTGTGTCCTTGGGCAAGACACTTTACCCGATTTGCTCCTGTGGGTAATGTCCGCAGTAATGACTCTTACATGTCTAATATGTGTAATATGTACTTGTAAAGCGCTTTGAGCACCTGTAAAAGCGCTCTAATAAAAAATGTAATGCATTATTATTATTATTATATCCTCGTGGATTCATCTTCCTATTATACACACATGCATTTCCAAACATTTGGACTACCTATGTTGCAAATGTATTATCTTTTCAATTTACACACGGCATCTATTGCACGTCTGTCCGTCCTGGGAGAGGGATCCCTCCTCTGTTGCTCTCCCTGAGGTTTCTCCCATTTTTCCCTTTAAAACTGTGGGTTTTCTTCTGAAGTTTTTCCTTGTACGATGTGAGGGTCTAAGGACAGAGGGTGTCGTATTGTCATACTGATATTCCGTACACACTGTGAAGTCCACTGAGACAAATGTAACATTTGTGATATTGGGCTATATAAATAAACATTGATTGATTGATTGATGTATGATGCTAACATGAGTCTCACATGCCATTCTATTAACATGCAAACCCCCTTATATGTTTACTTAACCACACATGCAAACCGCTTTCTGAACACGTACCTCCAGGCTGAGGAAGCCCACTTCGTGTGCCGCCGTGACTCGAGGATTTCCCCAGGAGGTTGCGCAGCGTCCTGACTGAGGACACGGTGACTGAGCCGGAGCAGCGAGCCAGAATCAGCACCACGTCGCTCCACCAGCTCACATCCTCCAGCGGGTAGTACTGCTCCTTATCTAGGACAGGAAACATAAGTTTTACAAATGTGCACCAGGGAAATGTGGTCAAACTTGTATTTGACATTGTTTTGTGCACTTTTGAGATTCTATTTTGTGTTCTACATTAACATTTTAGAATTGGCTTCCTTCGCTGAGACATATTTACACATGTGGGCATATTCATCACTTGTCATCCATGAGATGAAGACTCGCACAGATTATTGCATACACAAGCTGTCACTGCTGTCATTACAACTGGCCCAAAACTGTCAAAAAAAGGGACCGTAAATCTGCCTAAAGAGGCGTACAAAGCACAGACACACACTCACAAGCTTGGACACTTTGAAGAAGGAAAATATTTTCTGGCTTTGGATGTGTGTCTAAATAACTGTATAATTCAGAGAATAGTGCATGTCAAAGATCATTCAATTGTATCCACAGTGTGTCAGCAACAAAGTCGGCTTTCTTTAGCCCTTCAGGCCAAAGTACCTTTTATTTTCTTCCTTCTCTCCAGCGATGTCTTCCACTCTCGTCAAATCCTGGCTGCGGGAAGGACCGAAGGATGGTGGGACCAAAGAGGAAGAGAGGAAAATAAAAAGAAGAAGAAGGAGGAGGAGGTGGGGTGAAATTAATCTTCTAACCCTGTTTACACGTGAAGCACGCACACGCAACAGCTCTGCAGGCTCAGACCAGGCGATAAAGAGGAACACACATACATCGGCAATACATTGTGCAAATATAAGTTATGTCTAAGCCACCTCACTTAATATCTAATGGGCGTGCACACAATCCCTCTCTACCCACTCAGACTTGGGCCAGAGAGAGATTACATTAATACATTTAGTACACTTTTAGTGTCACTAGTACGGTCAGACGAAAAAAAGCTTACAAGTTGGGACTTTGGTGCTACTAGTGCCGCTCCTTGCGTCACTAGTAGCACCAAAGATAGTAGCCCATGATATAAGCCTTTTTATGTACAGTATACTAATACTAAGGTTTTCTTCAGACAGATGTTCGATCACTTGTCACATCCCTTGGCACATCTGCAGACACATGAGTATATAACCTCTGATAAGGAAAAGATCACAGTGTTTAAATGCACATCTGGAAACATTTATGAGTATTTATAATGCCATCTGTGCATCACGGAATTTAAAACTGTCACTGTTGTATAGCTACTGCTTGAGCCTTAACAAGGTATATATTTATTATTATTCAGTATTCAGCTGTTGAAATCATTTTTTCATATTATTTTTCAGCTTCTCATCTCGCCTTTCCCTTACTTCTATCCTATTCTCTCTGTTGCTGACCCAGTTTTTACGCAGGGATCATTAAAGTTTCATCTCATCTATCAGCTGGCAAACACTTGACAATAGCTGCCAAAATCTATTAAGCTGCCAAACCAAGCTTCACCGGCCAAACTAAATCTGGTTAGTGCAAACCGGGAGAGCGCTGTGAAAACAGTGAGGTCGCGGGTGTGAGTAATTAACCCGAAACTTTGAATGCTACGTGGATTGGAGGGCCAAGGGAATTTTAGACGGCTATAGTTGATTCCTGCAGGTATTGCATTAAAGTGATTGGCTCATTTATTCTTGAGTAAGCCAATTGGCACTATTCCATAATGTAACATCTTATGCCTGGGCAATAATGTCTGCATAAGATCCTTGTATTTCTTCTTCCTTTTCCGATGTTACAAACTGATATTCAGAGTACATATTTCATTATGTGTTGCTGTTAGTTTTAATTGCACAAGCAACTTTTTTTATAGAAAAAATAAAGCTTCAGTAAAAAGTTAACTGCAATGGAGTAAAATCCCGCTAAGTTGTAGCACGGCGATCAATATACTACATATTTACGAGCATTTTTAAGATTTATCATCATCTGCAACGGGTTTAAGGAATGAGTGTTGATTCAAAGGATTTATAAGGATATCTGCAGATGCTTGAACGTAAATGTATGAACAACACTCTTGATGAAACACTGTTGTAATAGATGTGGGCTCCAAATGAGGAGGCCACAATAGAAAATAATATATATATTTTTTTTTTAAAGGGGCTCATTTTCAGATGTCATATTAGCATGTTGTGCTTCTACTGTCACATGTTTTCATGCTTTAATGTTAAAAAAGCGTTTTATTTTTTTCGCAAGATGCAGCACCTCTTTTCACCCTTTGTTTGAAACCAGAGCCATGTCTGCTCGGATTGGTTAGTTGGCCGGCTCTGTTGTGATTGGTCAACCGCTTAGGGATGTCCTGCCCCTTAGCCTATCATGTACAATGTATTGGAGCGCTAGCCAGTAGAAGCCCAAGTGATACATAGCGATGTCACCATGAAGTAAACAAAGAAGTCCAATCGAGGCGTTACAGGAAGGGGGAAGGGGAAGGGGAAAGGGGGGAAGGAAGGGGGAGGGGGGAAGGAAGGGGGGGGGGGGGTGTGTTGAGCTGCGTAACAGAAGAATCTACAGAAATTAGATGGTAATAAAGAAGTATTTTTGGTGTTTTAATCTAAAATAATCTGGAAAAGTGAAATTCATTTATTTTTCTTTAGTTAGGATAATGTAACGAAGAAGGTGATTTGAGAACTCTGTTATTTTAAGGTGTATGAGTGAAGCAGTTTTGTCTCTCACCTGACCAGGTAACTCTTGAGCCCGCCCCCGTACGTGATAACGAGCAGCTCGGCCGACCAATGGGCGCTGTCTGTGTACTCCAGGAAGATCAGGCCTGCCACTGCACAACTGAAATCTCCGGGAAAACTCACCGACTGACAAGGAGATTAAAAAAAAGGAGAGTCAACAACAGTGTGAAAGTTACCGATGTAAATTATAGAGAAAATCAAAAAAGTAAAGAAATGTGTCTTTACTTACTAATTATCTATCAGTTTGTGCCCTCACACATTTTTTACAAGGACACACAACAAAGATGTGTCACATCAACGGCAATTGTTAAAGAACATAAAAAAGGCAGGGGAAAAATAAGATTAAGAAAGAAAATGATGCGACAGGGAAGGCAGGAGCTCATGGGGGGAGTGTCAGCGCTCATCATCTCTGACAGGGTGGATAGAGGAGCAGAAAAAATGATGGATAGAAATGGAGGAACGATAATATTCAGCACACAGAGGACATTCAAGTAAGAGGGGATGGCAGAGCTACTCACAGACAGACATGTGAGAATAAGACAAATGCTCGAGGAGGATAGGAGAGGAGGATCTAGGGAAGAAGAATTAAAGAGAGAAGTTGATGAAGATGGAGAATAAAAGATTGGGACAGTATGAGCAAAGAAGAAGAAAGAGATGAGAAGAAGCATCAGACACATGAAAGAAAAAAGCAGGTGTGACAGACAAAGAGGACACAGAGAGACATTTTCTTTTAAGAAAGGTGACAGGCAGCTCAAAGTGCCCAGTGAAAGTGTGCTTCAGTGAGAACAGAACACGGCCCGACCGCTCTCTGGAGCCCAGACTATAGATGTGTGAGAGCGCATAACTATGTCACTGTAGAGTTAAATATGATGGTAGGATATCAAGCTGCATTTAACCAATTTATAATCTGATTATGCATTTTTTGAAAGAACCAGAACCAGGTCAGTCATTGTTTTTCCAAAGAACAAATAAGTGGTAAATCTGGACTGAAACTAATGTTATTTTTTCAATTATGGATTAATGGGACAATTATTTTCTAGATACATTTAGATTTAGATGAAATTATATAGTAGTACATGAGTATTTGCCTGCTGCATTTCATTTGCTGACAATAAAGTTTTATCTCACAAAATAAATGGATTCGTTGTTCTATAACAATTCTATAAATTGTCTGAAATTAGTGAAAAATCTCCATTCCAATTTCTCATGTTTTTTCCGTTCATAACCCAAAGATATTCAGTTTAATATGATATAAAGCATGAATAAGCATTCAATATGTTGGGGGCATTTTCCAATAAAACATTACTTAAATGATTATAAAAATGGTCAGAATTATAACAATCATCATTATCAACAGCAATTACCTTTTTGTTAATTGATTAATCTAGTCATCCCAGCTCTTAGCTCTAATAAACATTATATTTAATCATCTGAGAAGAATACGATAATACTGACAAGAAATCAAGGTAATGCTGAGTTTCCATATGCTCCACCTGCCTGGTCAATTAGAATGAGCATCAATAGAGAACCGCAGTGACGCATCCTAAAACCCGGAAGTAAGTTAGCATTTTTAGCACTTCCGGTTCCTTCGTCAAAAAGCAATGCATTTTCTCCATAGGGTTTTGGAAAATAGCTCGAAATAAGGTCTGTGGTTGACACAAATTTAAGAGATAAATCACGTTTTGTTCTACGACATTAAATACATCAGCAGTGACCCCACTGGTGATTTTTGAAGAGTTTACGTGTCTGAAAAACGATGGTTGTTACCAGTGGTGTAGTGGGCGTTGGACGCGGGGGTACGCCGTACCCCCACTTATTTGGAGCATGATCTTTTTTTTAATAGTCTAATGAATATAAAATCATTGCCAGTCTTATCAGTTGCAAGTGTGTATTTGTTGTAATAATGACAAAAACATAATACATTTCACAGTAATGGCCTATAATAAAAAATAAAAACGATTTCCTTCAAAAATGATGATTCGTCATCACGCTGGTGACCCCGCAGCGAGCTGGGGGTGTGGCAGCTCTTTCCCTCAAGAACGCTAACGAAAAAGCTCTATAATGGAAGGTAAACGTTTTTTTACTTGACTTTTCTAAAAAGAATATAATTCACAAGAAGAAAGAAGCTAGCAGCATCGAAGCTACAAGTGAAGCTGCTACTAGTACTACATCATCAGAAGAGCCGCCTAAAGACATGGATAATGCTAGCTAACGTGCACGTTAGCTGCGCTAGCAACTTTCCCCTGGCTAGCTCAAGCTCACCTTTCCCAGAGGTATGGACGGAGGACATGTGGCAGAGGAAACAAGAGGCTACCCGTGAATAGACTGCAAAGCTGGGAAACTGGGCTGCTGTTCATCCATTTCGGATTGACCAGTCTTCAAAACGCAAGGTGTGTGTGTGTGTGTGTGTGTGTGTGTGTGTGTGTGTGTGTGTGTGTGTGTGTGTGTGTGTGTGTGGTGTGTGTGTGTGTGTGTGTGTGTGTGTGTGTGTGTGTGTGTGTGTGTGTGTGTGTGTGTGTGTGTGTGTGTGTGTGTGTGTGTGTGTGTGTGTGTGTGTGTGTGTGTGTGTGTGTGTGTGTGTGTGTGTGTGTGGCTAGGCCTAATCAGAATAATTTCAAATCCAGATTCAATGTTGTTGGCATAAGTAGGCTATATTTTTCGTTTACTGCCCGTTTTGTGAGTGCACTGCGCGCGTGCGCACTTGTGTGGCATTGTTTGGGATGACCTAATTAAAATAGCGTCCCCCCAGTAAAAAAATCCCCACTACACCACTGGTTTGTTACCCGAAATTGTCGAGGCCGTTGTACGTCATTACGCCGAACACGTAAACACTCCCGCTACATTTGTTTTCCCCCGTGTTCTGCTTGAAAGCAAGTACCTGCCTATCTTTAGTATCTGTAGTATCTTTAGTATATCTATATCTGCAGTGTTCGAATTACCCATTTGCTTTCGGGGGAGCCCTATTTTTGTGTGCACATCCTGCTACTAAATATGTCACACGCACGCTCTGTTGACTGGCGGAGCAGCGCGGATGCGATCAATTGCTATAAAAACACTCTGCTACTACTATAGACGGTATTACTGCCAAGGCACAATAACATTTCAGAGAGAATAAATAACAACATGAGGCTACTGTTTCAAAACCAATTGATAGCCATTAGCCAACATTTATTCAATTGCAACAAACAAAACAAAGTAACGACATCAGCTGCTGTTGGGGACACATGGCAGCGTTTTTTCAGTGTAAAGGCTATATAACATAGGCACGGCGGCCTCAGAATTTAAATTAGTTGAACTTTTTTTCAGCTGAAGGGGAAGGAATTGGGGCTTCTTTAGGACCCGCCTGGAATAGGCCTACAGTATTGTCCCTATCGCTTCTTCCCTGTCACTCCCCTGTGGGTGGATTGCTATGGAGGGAAAACGGACGAGAAGTTACAAACGTGTGTGTGTGTGTGTGTGTGTGTGTGTGTGTGGTGTGTGTGTGTGTGTGTGTGTGTGTGTGTGTGTGTGTGTGTGTGTGTGTGTGTGTGTGTGTGTTGTGTGTGTGTGTGTGTGTGTGTGTGTGTGTGTGTGTGTGTGTGTGTGTGTGTGTGTGTGTGTGTGTGTGGTGTGATGTGTGTGTGTGTGTGTGTGTGTGTGTGTGTGTGTGTGTGTGTGTGTGTGTGTGTGTGTGTGTGTGTGGTGTGTGTGTGTGTGTGTGTGTGTGTGTGTGTGTGTGTGTGTGTGTGTGTGTGTGTGTGTGCTGTGTGTGTGTGTGTGTGTGTGTGTGTGTGTGTGTGTGTGTGTGTGTGTGTGTGTGTGTGTGTGTGTGTGTGTGTGTGTGTGTGTGTGTGTGTTTGCTGCTGCTGCTGAAAGAGCAACGCCTATAGATTGATTAGACTATACGCAAGTCAATCAGTCTGATAAAAACCTAATAAATCCCACAACCAAAAATGATATCAACAGTAGGACTGGGGCCAGTCCAAACAAACAAAAAGCTCAAACAGTAAAATATACTCTCTTACCTTACTGTAAAAGCGACCACAGGGACCTGGGCGGCTTCTTCTTCGCTTTCGGTCCCGGAACCCAGGATGTGGAGGGTTTGTGGCCAGCTTTGATCCAAGACCGTACAAATGGCTGAGGGTCGAATTGCTCCAGGGGGGGGCCATTGATGTCTACGAAGAGAAGTGAGAAGAGGCTCTTCTCCCGCAACTTGTTGCGTTTGTCGGTGTCGGTCGAATTGACGGCAGAAAATCCCCTCTCACACTCAGCTGATGTAGGCAAAAAGGTCTTGCTCGCTGTCTGCAGTTTTTGCAGGGCTTTCCCTGGAGATTTATTCTCTAATTTGTAGTCCCGAAACTCCTCAATGGCCTCTCGGGCCAGTTCCCCCAGTACTTTTACCAGTGCGCGTACTTCATTCTCCCCATAGAGGATCAGGGCGCTCCGTTGTTCGGGCCAAAAGCGCTTGTCCAGTGGTTCAGGCAGTCGCTTCTTCAAACTGTCTATTATAGACTGGTAAAACTGCAGACGGTTTATCTTGGGCCTGCTCTCTGAGAGCTCAACATCCTTGAACATGCCAGTAGCAATGCCTTCTTCCACTTTTTGTGTGGACTTTCCGCCACTGGTTTTCATAGCTGTCAACACATCGATGGTCTGCTGAATGTAGCAACTTGCATCTACCAAAGATGTTTCTCTGCGTTGCAGTTTTAGCGACAGGCTTTTAAGTTCTCGAAGAACATCCTTCATTGTTGCCAAATCAGCCAGAAATCCAGTGCTCGTGAGGAGTTTGTGCAGTCCCCTGAATTTCTGTCTCTCTGTGTAACTGCGAGATGATGTGTTGTCTGTTGCTGTTTTGAATTGGCGTGCCAGTGCGGGATAATCTTTCCAGACAGCTTTCACAGTCTGAAAACTACTAGCCACCCAACGAATAGTGAAGATTTGGCCTATTTTCAATATTTGCACGTTTAATTCTGCTGCTGCTTCTTGGAGCAAACGGGCATTTTTTGTTGACTGGTGATAGAGAGCATATAGTTTTGCAACAAAAAACTCAAATTGATTACACCCAGCTACTTCTTTAAGGCAATCCTTGACAGCCAATTCTAGTCGGTGGGATAGACAGTGAATAGACTGCACTTTGGGGAAATCCTGTTTGAGTTTTGTCACAAGTCCCCCAACTCTGCCTGTGAGTACTGCTGCTCTATGAGGGGCCGTGTAGGCCAAAATTCAAACTCACCTCACACACACACTACTGAAAACATCTGGCCTTGCACACACACTACTGAAATACTGTCACATTCACTACTGAACACCTCACACACACACTACTGAACACATCTGGCCTTGCACACACACTACTGAAATACTGTCACATTCACTACTGAACACCTCACACACACACTACTGAAAATATCTGGCCTTGCACACACACTACTGAAATACTGTCACATTCACTACTGAACACCTCACACACACACTACTGAACACATCTGGCCTTGCACACACACTATTGAAATCCTCTCACATTCACTACTGAACACCTCACACACACTACTGAAAATTAAGCCTCACACACACACTACTGAAAACATCTGGCCTTGCACACACACTACTGAAATCCTCTCGCATTCACTACTGAACACCTCACACACACACTACTGAAAATTAAGCCTCACACACACACTACTAAAATCCTCTCACATTCACTACTGAACACCTCACACACACAATACTGAAAAATAACCTCACACACACACTCCTGAAAAACATTTTACTGAAAGGTTCTCAGTAGGGAATGTGCATGTGTTTCACCTATGTGTGTATGAGGGGATTCTTGCTGTAACGGAAGTCATTCTTGCTGTAACGGAAGTCATTCTAATGTAACGGAAGTCATCTGCTAGTGGTCTCTTTGCTAGCCCCGTTAGCTTCATTAGCTCCAGGCTGCTACTCGGACGTGTTTGTTGTGTTGATGCCTGGTGGAGTATTCGTCATTGAAATATCGCACTTATCTTAAGGCTCTGCGGTTCAAACAGACCGTCCATGAATGCAGTTTATTCGGTAAGTGAAATTCAAGCACTTTATTTCTTACTTGTCTTTTTATTCAGCTAACAAGCGAGACGAAGCTACATCTGTGCTAACGATGCTATCCGTAGCATA